TTATTGTGGCAAGGGATGCGGATATGAATATAATAATGACTTTGCCTTCAAGTAAGGTGTCACGGAGGATACAAAACTGAATCATGCTAGCAATGATCCAACGGCAGACTCAGAGATGGTTGCCAAATTCATCGACGTGTACAGTTGCTAACCAACTATTCTATTCTATTGAATATTCATGACAATCTCAGTATACCTCCCATCTCCCAAAAGATCAGTTATATCTCATCAAATATGAAGAAGCTGTTCCAAGTTCAAGTGCACACATGTGTAAATTATCCCAAATATGTTATTGACATTTATAGAACAGTGGTTCCTAAATCGAGAGGTTTCCTGTATATGAGCTTTAGGAAATTTTATGTATTAATGATACAAACAGAAAATAAACTGAAATTAGTACAATTTTTGCAAGGCTACAATTGCTCGTTAGAGCATATTGTCTCTTTAATTAGCAGGCGAGAAGTTTATATCCTCACTTGCCATCGTACAAATGTTAAAAGGTAGGCTACATACTTCTTCTTGAGTAGGCCTTCGAGGCGTGTATAATGAAGATGGGCATTAAAAATTCAAGTGAGGTATACGAAAAATGACAATTGCAAATACCAAGTTTATGATATTGACAACTGCATATTTACTAAGAATACGAGTCACCCGTCACGTGATATTAAAGCTTCAGTCACATTTGCTCTTCGGCGGGCGTACGGCGGCCGTAGCTTCACGAAATCAATATAGAAAATCTACATCGTACTGCTTATCCCTATATTTTATGAAGCAACTTCTATCGATTTTGGGGAGCTACGGTTGCCGTAGATCAAGTGTGACAGCTGGGGCATTACACATCTATAGATCTGCAAAAAGTCTTCACATTCAACGTTACTTCCTAAGTAATGGGTACAATATCAGGTGTCCCAAAAAAGTGAATCTTTATTGAAAATTTTTATACAGGTTCCTTAGCGTATACTGCGCAAAATGTATACGAGTAAATATTAAAGAGATCAGTAACATAATATGTGAGAATTTAGACTTTTGAATTTGTCAATTCTCACATAATATGTAACCGATCTCTCGTATTTGTACAACTTGTTTTACTGATACCCTAAGGCTACTATATAGAAATTTCAAATTTTGAGTAATCATTTGCTGAAAAAACAGTTGGCAAAAAGCGATTCAGTTTTTGGGACACCCGATATATTTGAAATCAGTGTGAAAAAGCACCAGTGACAGAATTAAGAAGCAGATAAGAAGACACGAAAGTAACAAGGTCTTTACTTAGTTCATTAAATCAAAATAATTAATGACAGTCGTGGACAAGACTATTCGACTTCAAAGACCATAAGGTAACTTTACGTGACAGTTTAGGCCTTTGTCCTGCAAATGCCATGGATAACACAGACCTCTAGATTATGAAACGTTTCTTTTCCTGCATCTACATTTATAACAAGTTTTTCAACTTAGTTATCTATTCTTATCTATAGACCCAATAGCTCAATGGCTAATTCTAGTTTGTTGGGAAATTGCTTTTGGAACATTTGTGAAATTGTATCAGTTCGTAATGAATTATTAAAGCAAATAACCATCGTAAGAATATCAATCAGTGAAGATTTGTTGAGCTAAAATAGTGCAACTGATTATCACTATGGCATTGTATATCACAAAATTCTATTTGTAAAACATAATGGTGATCATGATTTAAATGAAAAGAATGCGAAAGGAGTGAAATCAGAGTTGAAATAAAAAGACAGGCAATAGTCAAAACTCAAAATAGCTCACACTTTTTCAAAATATATGTTGCTTTATTCAAATTTTAGAGAGAAATCGCGTGAAATCAGCATTGCAAACGACATTTTTATGGTTGGGAGTACTGTAAATACTGATCGCAAGGAAACGTGATCATTCATGTTTTGCGACAATCAAGAAACCAAATTGAGTCGTTCATTTTGAAAATGGGCCGTAAAACAGAGCAATCTATGGACTGATTAAACAAAGCAGTAAAACCACGCTCTAAATTAGATAACAGGTTAGATCAAACAGTCGTTTACCCCTTTTTCCATCAGTCCCACTCGGCCATTTCATCGCCATGATATATTTTATTTTCGCTAATAGGGTGATAAAGGGCTTTATCTACGCTTGCCTTTTTCTAGAAGGATATGGTTAAACAGTTCTGTTAAATTCATCGGCTGCCGAAAAGGATAAAACTTGCCTATTGACAATATTCGTATTTTTATTTGCAATTCAGAAAAGAAACAATACATTTTACAATGTTTACAATGTGAAATATAACGCCATCTACAAGAATCTGTTATACATGTAAAAACGTCCATTTTGATTTAATGTTGTCGTTTTTATGTCACCACAAGAAACAGTGACGTATTGTTATAGTTTTCAACTTTTCAATGAACGGTCTTCGTAGTTCGGAGAATAACTTACAATAACTTACAAGGTGGTCGCATTTTGTCATGTTAATGCCTTGTTCCACTCGGTATTGTCACAATATGGCAAATAGGGCGTGTCCAAAGCTATATCTGCGTAAGATACATCTAGGCACGGCTTCCTTCAACGAGAAAATAATTATTTCAACCTTCAAGGCAAACAAGAGGTCGGCATCTCAGTAAAGAAAAGAAATACACACAACCCCAACAATAGAAACATCAAACGACGAAACCATCTATCAATGTCTAAACCATTTCATTTTTTGCTCTTACACAAAGGTTTCCAATCTGGAGATTAATTGTCTCAACAAATTGGACAATGAATTTTAGCAGAGAATTAATGGCGATGTAGATCCAGTGTTAAATGACGTTAAAAGATTACATGCATTCGTCTGAGTGAAACATCTAATCGAGATTGATTAAAGTGTTACCACCCTGGGATGAAATATCTCAATGTTTATATTCCAAAATGAAAAATGGATTGAATTTGGAACAGATTAGGTAAAATGGTGCGTCCAATTCTTCAAAATGTACAAAATGTGATACAATTCTATAGGAGAGAGGTGAAAATACGGATCCATAGTAATATTTGACTCTAGGGTGTCCACATTTAAAACGAAAGCTCTATAATGAGATGGCTAAAACCGAAGATGGGAAATTGATAAGTTAAGAGATTGTTTCTGTCAATAATGGTCGTTTCATCAAGTGATAAAAGGTAGGTTCTTCTCTGAGAGATGTTCTGGATTGTCTTATCTTTAATTGTAGTGGTTTTGAATTAAACATCAAAGTCGTCTAATGGAGATTCATCGTATTTTATGTCAACTTAGTAATACGAATCATTGCCCGGGTGCTTTTTTCCCATAAAGCGACTTCTTTACTCTAATCACATAAATTTGACGAATTAATGAGTAAACGGGCATAGCGGTTCTAGTTTTCTAGTGTTCCCAAGCGTCGTGTATGATTGGAATTTATCTCAAACTCCAGTAATCGTTGGACACCAAATGGTTAAAAAATTACCAAGTCTTAATGTTTTTCACATTATTGTTATATGATTGTACCTTTGGGTGAACATTGTTAGTCTCAAAATGTAGCAGAACTCATTTAGTAAGCAAATTATATCCCTGATTTGCACAAGGCGGAAATTGCCAAGAAACTCCCAGTTGGTATGTTCATAATAAACTTTTGAAGAAACAAATTAGAATCGCTCCAACCATATCTAATGTACAAGTGTGATAAAAGTTTAAATTGTTGAAACAACAAATTGTTCAACAACAGACAGCCCAGGGTTGACACAGGTAGTGATTGCGTAATCGGAAACGTTAAATGTGCACGTTGTGTTAAGCTAGGTTTCATGCAATTATTCGAACACTGTACATCGACTTGACGTTCTAAAGAAGAATGATATTCGTGTTCTCTCTCTTTCCCTCCCAACCTATCGCAAAAATGGAGCCAACATCTGCCCATAGTACAGTATGACGGTTGTCAGCCAATGATTCAAAGTATCAGCTTCTAAGTGCGAATGCAACTTTTGGCAGTCGGCTACCGGATTAACCTACTTCTTTGTGACCAACTCATTTAATATGAATATAATAATGGCAGGCAATATTTGTATTTAAATGAGTTGCCCATAAAATAATAGGTTAATCCGGTAGCCAACAGCCAAAAGTTGCATTCGCGAATACAAGCTTAGATTAAAATATATTTCATTTGCTTTAGTTGCCACAACATTGGTCATCGCGATCAAAACTGTCTTGAAAAACTGTCCACCAGAATAGAGGAATACAAATCCAGATTTTATCTAAGAAGGTTTTGTTTCATTTGTATGACATTTCTCAAAGCTACTGATATAATAAAAATACAAACAACATTATTATGTAACCAATGCCAACACCGTGCAGTTTGAGAATCAAAGCATATGTTTGTTTTACCCCGCATTGGGTCATCAAATTATATAAGTAATATCAAGTAGTCTAAGCCCTGGGAACTTGCTTTACGTTAAAGATGATTAAGTTGTTTCATACTTGGAACAATGGTTCCATCAACTGACTGTATGTAGATTAGCTTTGTAAAACTGCTCAGCTCTTAACCCTATTTCCTCTTTGCGAATTTCCGTCAATGCACACCGGATGTGGCTTTTAGGTGTATCTATTTTATGAAATAATAAATCCCTGTTATTTGATAGCTCAAAACAAACCCTCTAATTGCTTGTATAAGTTATTGACGTATTGAAATAATTGGAATATTCCGTGGTTTATTGTTTTAGAAAACAAATCCATATTATTTACATGTTAGAAATAGTTGTCTAATGATCGTAGCCAAAGGACTTGTTGGAATGTACTCTCGAGATAATTTATTCTCCCATGTGTTTTTCTCTCTCATTACGTAGCACCTTTCCTGGTATTTCATTTACCATTAAAAATGCTTAATATAAGCAAAATTGTATTTTGAAACTCAACACGTTTGTATTCAACTGTACATTATAAAGACGTCACGTCATGACGTTTTTATTGTATTCAACTTTACATTACAAAGACGTCACGTCATGACGTTTTTATTGTTTTGTTTTTTCAGAGGCACTAGTGGTATTGACATTGATTTACAAAAGGTTGACATAGACCAGTGTCCAGGCGACAGGAATACAAATGTCTTCGCTGACTCTGCAAAATGTAAAAAGAAAACAACTCAGGTAAAACGCTTATGTTTTTTGGGGTTAAGTGTTTTTGTTCGCTTCGTTGTTGTGTCATCTTGATTCACAAAGTATGAGTTAATTAAACCTCGGGAGGTGATGGTATTACACTAGACACTTTCGGTTTGGCTTTGTGTTCTTCTGAACATTTTTTCCCCCAATCAATCCTTTTGAAAAACAGAGAACCCAAAGACGGTTTGCAAGAGTAATCCACAGAAGCGTCCATAAAATACTAATGTGCTAACGTATTGCGAACAATGATTGCAACTTTGATGGGAAATTAAATGAGCAATAAACATTGTCAATTATTTACCATGTTTGTATTAAACGCACTAGTGATAACGTCATATCAAATTGCATATTGTGTGTTTTCCTTTAGAGGTTATTTGCCTTACTATCACAGAATTATTTGAAATATTACTTTGACACTCGTCGAAACCCATTTAGAGAATCATTAAACATCGGATCTATAATTTCAATTGAAATTGTGTTTAATAAATTAGTATAAGACTTAATGATGCGTGTAGGTTGCAGGAGCAGATTTTCAATTCCGGGTGCTTACCTCGGATTATTATCTCTTAGACAATTCTTTTTCCGCATATTGTACATTGGTTTGTAATAAAGTCCGCCTTCAACTCGTTTCGTATATTGAAATGAGGTTAGAATGACATTCTGCCTCAAGAAAAAGGTTTCTGTCCGGAAAATGTAAAGATTTTCACCTGTAACAGTAAAAGTGCGCCTTTGGATGATGTAACACTAACACGGCGTCACTTTGAACAAGCTATTTCCAACAGCGCAGTATAAACTGAAGGAAACAGAAAATAAAACACATCCAATGCAGGTGTGATGTTGATAAAATGTAAGCTTTGATGGTTTTCACTAATTTGTTTCGGGTAAAAGCCAGGAAAAACTTAAGTCAACATTACCAACTAACAAAAAGGATAAATTCAATGTAAACCTTCTGATTCAAATTTTAATTGTTAGTCTTCGGGATCTGCAAATTAAAATATGGGTACCTATAGTAAACCTTTCCTATGATACCATGGACACATTGGAAACATGGACCTCTTATTAAAACCAAAGTCAGACCCGTAGCGAAGGGGAGTCCGGGGGACCCCTTGCCCAGATTATTTTCAAAATCATACAGTTTTTCATCATTCTGAGCAGTTTTCAAATGATTTTGGGCAAAAGTTGTCAGCATTTAAAGAGATGTCCGAGTAAAATATCGTGGCACTTTTAGTCTCTCTGTTATTTTATGTAAGATGAGATTGCCCTACTTATTTCCAGAGTGCTTATTTATTTACTATAGTTCAGTAAAGTTTAGTAATATTATTCTTTGAAAGATGATTTTCCACAAAAGTGCTGAGAGAACACTGAGAGAGTTTTTCCAGGGACTGGTGCGTTACAATATCTGAAACATGGCATGAAATGGCATCTTGACAATTTGTGTTATCTGCTCCGCTATGTCAACTAATCAATTTACAAATACATGTAGTTCCCTGTAGTGTATTTATGCATTAAAAGGACAAGGTCGCCTTCCATTCTTCCCAAGTGCATTGATCTCTACTGTTCTTTCTCTATTTATAATTTGTTACATGTTGCTTCGGTAACGAAGAGTTCAGAAAAAATGTAGATCTAATTCACCTGGAAGCCTAAACAGCAACACACCTCAGTTTTGCACCCTCTACGATTCCAATCTAATGCAATAGATCTTAGTGTTTCAAAATTTGACCTTTCGTGACCTGTACAGATAGATTAATTTTTAAAAGTCTTACTAGAAAATAATAGGGTTTGCATTCTTAAATCTTCAGATGCATAGTAAATATTCATTATATTTTTGTTATGGACGAGTGGAATTTCGAAGTATTCCGCATTGCTTCAAATATCACAGAAACTGTCCCGAACTATTGAATCGGTTAAATCTAATCATTGACATACAAAAAATGTATGATTGGGTTTCTTTATACGATCTTTCGAGAAAAGGCCTCAGAATTTAAGCCATAAACTACTAACGCCCATTATATGCTATCACCGAGTGGTGTCCATGTCCACGGGAAGCGATGAAGACCGATGATTCTCATCACGTCTTTCCGTTTTCCATTTTTCTTTCCGGAAAGGAACTATTAAATGCCATGGTTTGTCATGATGGAGGGCGTGTGTAACGCTAGTTATAACATACCTATGATTATGTATAGTGCAAGGTGTACACAAGACAGCGGGCCAATATAAGTTTTGAAAAGCCCGCGCCCGCTAACTTTCTGATTGGTCAAGGTGCTGACGTCATAACCAATCAATCGAAGATAAAACTGCGCGAGCAATTTTTGTAAACTCATTTCAATCATTTTCAAACCATTTGTTTGTCAATTCTATAATAAAACGGTACTCTCTGACCAGTCTACATCAGCATAGGTATGTTATAAATCGTTTATGTCACTATCGTGGCACATATGCCACGATAGTGACATAACCTCTAAATATTCAGCGGACCGCATGGTTATATGACATTATTATGCCAACACGTGAAAAGCCACTACTTTTGGTGTCATTTAAAGACATAGTTCCTCTTTCACGTATATTATCTCATGGAAATGGGCATACCAGCGCGAAGATCTTTGTTCCGTGGTAAAGAAAGGCTGTCAAACATTGTCTGAAGAGCAGATTTATCTCCGTAATTCTACTTTTAGCATGGCAACCTTGACCTTGAAAAATATAGCCATTTGGGCGATAATAGGTGATTCAAAAGTGAAAATGAGTGCTTTTTCGTAGTTTTACTTTGACCAAGCCTAGAAAAAAATCGAAGTGGTAAACCTACCCCCAATTTTTGACATTTTTGTTGTCTAGAAGTGTCCTAGATGATATCAAAGAAAATTTGTATGTTCAGAAATATTTTATTAATGAGTGCCATTATGGTGGGTTTGGGTGCTTTTTTGCTCTCATTTTTTATCCCATTTCTACGGTTGCCATGGCAACTATTACGCGTTGGTAACCATGCCAACTTGCTTTTTTGAAGGACATCCACCTGATAGAGGTTGGGCCAAGTTTGCTGGAAAATGGGCCTGGCTTGATATGCTGGCAGTGAGGTTGATTGTGGCAAGTAGTAAAACGGCAAAACAATGGGGGAGTCATACAATATATGAAATTAAGTTTTACAAGTTTTACTTTTAGATTGAATATATTCATAGTTTCCTTGTCTAATCATCTTGATTCTCAAGGTTTTAGTTGCTCCAACCTCGGTGTTATAACCACTTGGAATTCGAAGATGTTGTCTAATGCCCAATTCTAGGTCGGTTTGTCGTGACGAGCATAACAAGTTCCTTTGAATGGTCTCTGATACTGCAGCTTGTCTGGTTATCGTCACTTTCGTATTCTGGTGCGACATCCCTGAACACCCCTAAATTATATTTAGTATGACACTGATGTGAACATATGGAATACCAACAAACTCAGCAAACTAGCCATGTACCCCTTACTCACATTTAACAAGTAGGTGTGGAATGAAAACATGTATAGCAACATCTTGGAAAATATTACCTATTCCATCAATTTTTGCTAATCTTAATCTTGAAAATGTTCATTGGCTGATGCTCATCTACCTTAAGCTTGTTGAATTCATTGACTAGTTGGACATTATCTTCTTTTTTCTATATAAGCATCCCTATGTTGCTATTGGTCTAAATATAATATTGGGCAATGGGCATATTCAACGTCATGAATCAGGGGGGGGGTGATATGCCAAAGTTCAGAGTTGGTATTTGGTCACGTGGTATCCATGTGATAGATCCAGAATCCCCCCATGATAGATCCATACTTTCTGTTGTGTGCCATTTTAATGTCATGTGATAGATCCGCATAAGGCCTGTAGGATCATATAGGAAAAGATAACGGGAAGCCTCTAATACCAAGTGATACCAAATAATTATGGGATCTAATCACTTCTTCTGGTTATGAATTAAGTGTCTGATTTCCTGTTCGTTTTATACTTTTCAATTTGTAGTTTTTATCGAATTTCCTGTTCAATCAAGAATGTTTTTTCATTCCATGTTGTATCTTAAAATTTAATCACTGTGATATGATACGCAAGACTTTCTTCAAAGCATCATTGCTCAAAGCAGTAATTACTCTGTTTAATAGTGTTGATACAGGTGTAATCTTGATTCGGTTGCGTTAAACCGTACAAACGTGAATTCTAGACGATATAAATCTAATCTAGTAGTAATCAATTGTTACTGCCGAATATATCAGAGGTCCCGATAGGATAAATGAAACACGAGTCTTGTCATATCAGCCACGGCTCAAATAGAGTGTTTCCTGGCCTAGGGGGCAGGGTATCACATTGTCTCGACAACAAGAACGACACCCTAGGCTTGAGATTACAATATATCATGCTTTGGCAATGGAAAAGTAGCATGTACCAAGGCTTTCCTCCGCTTAATGGCAAAAAGATCTTGTCAAAATGAAAAATTCTGCAAAGGTCGAGGGAAAGAGCTCCATCACGACCAAAAAGGTCTTCCACTCAATGGCAGATTAATTTGTGAGGGCCTAAACTTGAATCTTCTTTAAATCTAGACTCTTGTTATTTTGAGTGGATTTGATTGATTTATAAATGGATAATTAAATTGGGATTTTTTCTCCGTTAATCGTCTAGACTTGTCAACATTATTTGTCGATTATTCTTCCGAAAGTGGGTCACCGAGGACTCCGGTCGAATAATGTCGTCTTGGTTGGAAAATGGCCACAGTCAATACAATTCAATTTATTTGATAATTTCTTATATTGTCGTGATCGCTAGCGTGGTCATTATGGCGTCCCACTTTCTTGTCGCCTCTCGTCGGACCATTTCCGGATGGTTTTCGATATGGCTGATATTTCTCGTCATAGATATTCGTGGTAAACTGCTCACGGGGTATACTTATTTGTTTAGTTAATTGTTACATGATCTCAAGTTCTGGAGCTGATTAACTTTTTGGCGATTATCTTTAGCTCTATCGGCCATTTAGGAT